ATAAGTAGCAAATATATTAAAAGGGAGTAGTAAACAGGGAGAAGGGTTAACTAGAAAAGAACATTATACCTCCATCTCAACCTAACTGTTTTAACAAGACTCAAGGAATGTTTTTAATCTTGAAGTCAATAAAGGTTAACAAAATAAAATAAACTTCTGAGTTCCTATCTTTTCTAGAACTTCATCTTTCCTGCTTAAGATATTTAAGAGATATTATCAGTTCTGTGCCATCCCAGCCAACGGGAAAATTTATTTAAACATAACTAAAGTAGAAAATTATTTTGTGGAAATACTTAAGTATGGCTTCTGGGTGGTATCCTATTTCACCTAGCCCAAAACCAATTTTAAAACCCGCTTCTAGCTAATTATTTCTAGCCCTGGTAAGCAAGAAATCTCTCATGTATCTGAGATAAAGGACAGAAGATATTTATTATGTCATTTAGAGATGGCTGAGAAAAGACTAAGAATCATAGAGTCACTAGAGTTGGAAAATACCTCCAAGATCATCAAGCCCAACTTCCAACTGAACACCACCCTCATCCACTAGGCAGGTCACCTGGTCATGAAAGAATATCAGGTTTGCCAAGCAGGGCCTGCTTTTCCTGAATCCATGCCAGCTGGGCCTCATCCCCTGGATGTCCTGTACATGCTGCATGATCTTATCCAACATGATCTCTTCCATAACTTTTCCTGGCACTGAGGTCAGGCTGACAAACCCATAGTTCTCCAGATCCTCTTTCTGAGCATTCTTGTAGCTGGGTGTCACCTGAGCAACCTCCAGTCATCTGGGACCCCCACAGGTGGCCAGGACTGATGATAAATGATGGAGAGTGGCCTGGCCAGCTCTTCCACCAGCTCCCTCAGCACCTTCATGTGAACCCCATCTGACCCCAGAGACTTGTGAGCTTCTGAGTGGCACAGCAGGAATAACTGCTTCCTCCTGGATTGTAGGGGGTCTCTTCAGATCCCAATCCCTGTCGGCCAGATCAGCGGGCTGGTTGCCCTTGGGACAAACCAGTCTTTCTGTTGAAGACTGAGGCAAAGAAGGCATTAAGTACCTCAGCCTTTTCCTCAGCCTTGATTACAAAGCTTCCCTCCACATCCACTAAGCCATTCCATACTAGCTGTTCGGATCCCAAACTTTCACCTCTGTAGACCTGTTTCCATTATCAAGATGCAGTCTCTACTTGGACAATAAATCCTTTGAAATCCTACCATCATGAAATTTTCAAAGGCTTTTTTTTAAATTGGACTAGAGCTCAACAACTGTAACTGAACAGCCTCATATCACCATTTATTCTAACAGTCCACAGGCTAAACTCCATCATTTTTAATTTTCTCATGGCTCAGGACAGTAAAGCAAATCTCCATGGACATTTCATGAAGCCATGCCCTCTGCAAAAAGAAGAGCATCCAAAAGATATATTATTACCATTTCTTACACTGGTATCAAGGAAATCTAGTTCTGCATTTGACCTAAATGCTTAGCCAACCAGAACTTTAGAGTAATTAAGAGATCTGATATAAAAATACATAAAGAGATAAAAAAATAATTTTTCCAAGTAAGATCAGGATACACCATCACTACCTTATTGGTGGTCTCATGTGATTAAGAGCTATATTAACTTGCTGCTCAAACTCACACTCAGGGTATGAATTTCTGTACCACTCACACTACTAGAATGTGTTTTGGCTTGTATTTTCTACACAATATGGACATTAGTAGATCAAGCCACATGGCATTACAAACTAGAACCCTTAGGCCATCTCTGCTCAATGAAGGATACTGATCCACAGACTACTTCTGAACACTTAAGAAAACTTATCAGATTCTTGGAAAAAAAAAAAAACCAAACCGAAAAACCCACTCAAAAACCAGCCACATTATTCTAAAAATACAAGGGCTTGACCTCTGGCTGGTATTTGCATGGCTGAGTTCTTAGTGTATGACTCTACTGAAGGAATCTTCAAAAAAAACTGAAACTACAAAGCAGTTCAGTATATAGCCTACTTGGCCAGTGACTGTCAACATTTTGAGATAACTGATTACTATTTTTATGGTTTTGAAATTATTTCAGAAAGAACAATCCCTCAAAAACATCTCATGGTGAGAAAACGTGGGTGGGACAGAAAACAATATCTTTTCCTCTTGCAAAACGTTCTCACAAATATCCTTCTATTTTCTGATCAGCAGATCTTTGGAAGTTTAAGGTCTCATCTTGATTTGGACAGTCTTTACATTTTATTTTGATTTCTTTTACAAAAATGCCTAGAGGAAAGAAAGCAGCTTTTCTAAAGAAAAAGTGTCATTTTGAAATTTCAGTCATAGCTTGGAACACTAGAAGTTTTTGCTAAGTTAATTGCTTGTTTCAAGCCAGTATGTAAAAATATAAACCCAAAGAAACTTCAGGTTCCATACCTGTAAAAGATGAATTAGCACTAAAACGTTCACTGCTCTTAGATATTATATTCAATCTGTCTGCAAACTTGTCACATCCAAGTGTTAATGTCATGCCCCAGTTACTTTCAGGTACAATATTTCTCAAAAATAATATTGTATGACATTACCTCCAAACCCATTTATTTTACACACGCAGTGATGGAAAACTGTGTGCAAAGGTAACCAACCAGGACTAAATGGGTTTAGTTTCATTTGGTGCATGAGTGGCTTACACATAAAAATTCTATTAATTATATTGTAAATCCCCTGGCACAGCAGGTTGAGCAGACTCACCCTGAAGACAGTTATCAGAAGAGATAACTGCTGTACCATGAAACATTAAATGGTCAGAGGCTTCATGGTACTTATTACTTGTGAAATATGGAGGGGAATAAAGGAGAAGAGGCTGTAGAACACATTCAGAATAGATTAAGGGAAAACCAACAACACTGGGCAAATTTCCCAAGTTCAATCCATATACTTAAAAAGGAGGTATGTCACTACAACCTGCATTGACTAAGGAGTTGGTAAAGTTTCAGCTTGTCCAGAAGATGCTAATCATCACCTCTTCCTCCCCACTGCTGACCTTACTGAATTCCTTTTCTGTAATCAGATACAGAATTCAGTCTCAAGTGCCAGCTGCTGCTGCAGATACAGCTTCGTGATGTCCTTGTATAAGAATTCCTCAGGTTGGATATTTTCTGCTTTTTATCTGCACTTGATTTACCAAACCCACAAACAGTCATAACCATGATTTGTATGGCTCAGTAAGGACTCTACTGCCTTCCTGTATATGGAGTATGTCTTGGCAAAGTAGGACTCAACAAGCTCTGTGTAGCAGAGGTCCCATTGCAGTAGCACTGACCAAACCTGCATCTTCTTCTTGGGCATTGCCAACACCTCCACACCAGGAACTGAAAGCCACATATGCTTAACCACTTAACAGTTCTTACATCTACATCTCTTCAACATTTTGCCAAGATTTCTGCATCATCATTCCCTTGTGTTGATACCACTTCATTTGTTCTCCAGTGTTCAGGCCTCTGGGGCTTTCCCTGGAAACTTCTCTGATAGTCATAATTCCAGATTCTTATCCTCAGCTATGTAATGCTCTTCACAACACTGCTCTTCCATATTTGTTATTGCACCCTCTCTGATACTGCCATCAAATTTGACCTCCTGTTTTTTGAATCTAAAGCCTGTGAATGTGAATGTAAGAACATGCATTCTTCTGCATGTAAGGACACTTAGTGTGAGCACTTGCACTCGAGCCTGTCTTATGCCACCTGAATTGAGCATCCTCTCCTAAGCCACAGGCACTGCACTGCTCTCCTCCCCTGCATTCCTCTCTCCTCACATTCCCTGCAAAGCTCTATAGCACAGAACCAGACAAAATACATAGCCCAGTATGAGAGAGACACTAAATTTGCTTAGAAGTTAAAAGAAAATTTTTACATTATTCAGAATCTTTAGTTTGTATATTAGTTACCTAGAAAAAAAGCTGTCATTGTTACTCTCTACTTTCTTTTCTATTTATTTAAGTAGTTTTCCAACTCCTACTGAGTTTCAACTGAAATAATATTTAAAGCTGTTCACTCTCAGGCTGGTGACTTTATGATGTGCAGCCCTAGCACCAAGCATAACAGGGCACCCTGGCAGTTAACAGAACATCAAAATCAGCTGTAAAAGCATGTTGTGACTTTAGATAATCTTATTGCTGAAAAAAAATGAAAAATCCAATTAAATCAAATTATATGAAACAAAACAGTAGAATGAAATAAAGCTGCAAATTCAAAATATTTAGCAAAGTTAACAGAAGAAAGTAATCCATGGAACATACTGTTATGGGAAAAATTATAAACATGTAACCAAAGAGAGTTCTTATATCATCTGAACAATGTAACCAAGCGTTTTCTAATGAAGCACAGATGTAAAGAAGAGTGCATTAGCACAGCCAATCCATTCGAACTTTCACTCCTGTATTCCTCTACTTCTCTGTTAAAATAAACACGACATTTAGAAATTAAAAGAACCTTCTCATTTCCTCAATTAAACCATGTTCTGTCCGGATTGTAACTACAAGGTGATAATATTATCATTATTAAAAATATTAAATAAATATATGTCAGGAAAAAAGCTAATACATGCATACATTATATTTGTTTATAATTCACTAAATATTAGCTACATTTTACATGAAATCTAGAAGTATATTTATTAGAAACCCTCTGGCCCTCTGCATTGTGGAAGCCCATGCATGGCATGAACACATTGCTGAGGAAACTGAATGGTGTGGTTAGGAAAGCCAGTTTTACACAGCAGAGCAAAATCACTGTGGAACCTGCTTCCACCCACAATGGAAACTTTACACTTTGGAATCACCCAAATCTTCCCAGACACCTCCTGCTCACGTTACTGTCCTGCAGACACTTCAACATGCAGGGTAAATGCAGCTAATAAGCATAATTAGCTCAAACAGTGTATTTTAATTTAGTTTTGCACTAAAGACTAATTGCCTACTCAGCAAAGGGGAAGTGGAACATTTTTTTAAGATGCTTACCCGAGGGCCCTGATCACCTTGATCTCCCTGCAAAGTGGAAAGATGAGATGATAGGTTTAACACAGCATCTGTGTGCTACCCAGCTCTCTTACATAATCTAACATTTCACTGCATCAATACAAACAGTCTCTTGAGTTCATGCTGGGAGGGCTTTCCAGTCACCTTGTAAGAATCACCCGAACACCAACTCACCTTCTCGCCTTTTGGACCAGGAGGGCCCTGAAAGAAACAAAGGCAAAGATTATTTACTGATGCTGATGAAGTCCTGGGATACAGCAAGAAACAGGTCTGTGTCAATCTGCAATTTCTTCCCAACAATATATTTGCTTATAATTTTTAACTCTGGAATGCCAATGCTTTTCCAGAGCTGGTTTCTGTACTAATAATAGGGACTGCACACTATTTCTCGAATAGTTTGCTAATGTGCGTTCAATCAGTTTACTCAAACAAGCAAAACTATGCCTGAAATGGCAAAATATCTACAGATTTCACTTAGGGACAATAGTTTATCTCCTATCAGATTTAAAAAAGTTTTCTTAGACTGTAAAAGTTCTTTGCAAGAGCACTTAATAAATTCAAATACATATAAATCTGTCATGTATTTTGGCACCCTCCTTGTATCAGATTGCCAAAGAAAAATGGATTTGAAATTCTAAAAGGAGGGTTTTCATTCCTTTCTTTGGCAATACTGATGCTTAGTCTCAAGCAGACTTTTTAGGCAAAATGAGCACTTTGTGTAACATGATTTTGCAGGAGTATTACTTTTTGTTACTTACCACCCAACAAACAGTAAGGTGACAGAATCACAAATAGGAAGTCCTTTCCTATTCCATTTTTATTAAGCACTTTTCAGAAAGGTAGCAGCAGGTTTCTAAACCACTAGTTTTTCAGGTTAGTATCTTGTGAATAAAAATGCTATCAGTCTGCAAAAAACTGTCTGCTTACACAGTGCAGACTCTACCTCCAGCTTTCTGAAAGATATGCAGGTGTTTCATTACAAAGAAGGATCTGAGATACATATGAAAGCAGCTGTAAACAGAGAAGGAGCCATTCAAGCCAGCATGGTTCACTGTGATAACACAAAGAGAGCGTGGCAGTGTGTGTGTGTGTTTGTGAGGGTTTATTGTGAGGTTTGCAGAACAAGAAAAGATTGTCACTAACAACACAAGTAAAAAATTCATGTGGTTCAAATAAGTGCAGTGGAATGGAGGTCAGTCTGCTGTGTATTAAAGACGTGATCAACCACAGGCAAGTCTTTGAGAATCCCTATTGTAGCCAATTTTCTGCTTAGTTTTAAGGGCTTCTGATACATGCCAGAGGAGAGCATCTGCTGCTGAATCAAAGGAATTAAAGCATATGCCATTCCTTGCATGGCCTGCCATCTCTTCTGTCTGCTGCAGAGGACACAGAAGCAAGTTTGCCTCCTGATGTCCCCAGGTCTCCTTCAGGGAGCACAGTGCTCACTGCCAGCTGAGTGGAAACTCTCTGCTCTATTAACTATGACCCTGGCCCACTTTGCATTGCCCTGCAAGCACTTGTCCTCTTTAAAAACACATGAAACAAAATAATTTAATTAATAGATACAACCTGGCTGCACCTTTAAGGTCTCTCCATATATTATTTTTAAGCATTAAGCCCTACTGTCCTTTCCCAGTTCACATAAATACATACTGAAAACTAAATGCAGCACTGTCAACTTTTAGCTACAGTCTCCCTATACATGTACTGTGACATGACATCACAGTAGAGCAGGTCTGCTCTAAAGCTTACATACATGCCACTGAGCTTGTGAATTTGTGAACTCATACCATCAGTAACACAGTACTGGGAGGAACTAAAATCAGTCAGTGCAGGCTGTTGCTGTCTTCTCCACAGCGAACGCGAAGCACAAGAGAAGGGCTGTGCTCACGTGTTCTGCCTCCTTGAATCACCAAGGCATTGCTGGCTCTGAATATCTCACTGCCTGCAAAGTGCAAATAGCATGACCCCTATCTGCTACAGTCAGAATCCTATTTCTCAGGCCTTAGGCATGAAATGATAGGTAACCTGACACGACTGAGACTGTAAACAGATGTTGTCCTGTGGGAGCTGTTGCTGCCTTCATTTAGATGCTCAGTGCCGTTCTTACGCCCAAGAGTGGCCCTGCTCTGCTTCTGATGGGTTTTGGCTCATAACTTCTCTGAAGCATGCTTGCCACAGCTCTGCCTGCTGGTAGAAACTACAACAGGAGAGATCATGTCAGCTGCCTAGACCAAGCTGGCTCACTGGAACAGAAACAAGCTAGAGCTGACATGAGGGGCTCAGCCACCAGATCTGCAAGGCTACTGCACTGTCTCCCTGGCACGACTGCTGGCAATTATGCTCAGCCATCACCAGTGCACAACTGGCCCCTTCCTCTACCCTGCATATTTTCCTCTGCTGAGAGTTCTCTGATAGTACAACGTATACCCAAACATGCTTTTTAATAAGACTGAATCATATCTCTTTTTTTTTCCTCCTTCTTCTGTGCAGGATTTTCTGAAAACAATTCTGAAACCATAATCAGATTTTGCTTTGTTTTTTATTGCTTGGTGTTTTCTCTCCCTGAGTGCCAGACACCATCATCTCTAACACGTCACCCTTCCAGCACACAAATTTTTCATAAAAGTCTTCATAAACATCTGAAAATTTTATTTTACCAGGGCTGAAAAACAGCTTTTCAAAAGCCCACAAAAACACTTCTGGTGTGAACATTCTCACAAGTCTCTTCACTTGTATTTGCAATGCTTTTGCTTTCTGCAAGTCTTGAAAAACAAACAAATAAATGCAAATAAAAATGGTTCTTTTAGATGCAAGTGAAGAGAACCAGTGGGGTTTCATCAAAATAAAAATTAATGGAATACTTTCATGGCTTGTTCATCCATCTCTGGCTTTTCCCCCACTGTTTCAATTGTCCTCTATTGTTTTCGCAACTTTAAACAGAAAATTCCTATCCTCAGCCTTTGACATCTTCTTTCCATTTGTGTTGAGAAATTCTCCCAAGGTTTTTACTGCAGAGTTTATTAGTGTGGGTACACTGAGTGGAGGCAGGGAGGAAGAAAAATCTGAGGGAAAGTTGGGTTTGTGGGGGTGGGGTGTAATTAGGAGACAGATTTGTTTAAAGGAGGGCAAGGTTTCTTCTGTTTAAGGGTACAGACACAAAGCACAGAGTGAGTAAAATAACACTAGTTTTGTAGGCCACAGCATGGACTTGCTGCTTTTTTTTCCCAGGGAGACTTCTGTGCTTTGGTTTATGAGATGGCAGAGATCAAGCCACAAGCTGCCGAACAAATGTGAAAGCATTTTGTGTAAGTTATATGAAACGTCTGAGGTCAGAGCATTTCTGAAATAACTTCACAGTGTTTTCACTGGAAACAGAGGCTCTTTTCTCAAAGTGTAATTATCTACTCCAGACTACTATACATTTCCAAGGAGAGTTTATAGCCTGTTTCACATAAGCAAGGCCTTGTAAATCTCAAACACATGCAAAATCTGCATTCATAATTAGGCAAAAAATACTACTGTTTTTAAACCAAGTTCTCCTACAGCAGACTGAAAGGCCTCCAGGCACCTGCCAGCTAAGAAGAGAGCTGAAATCAGGGTCAAATCCAAAAACCAGCCATATTCAGGATTGCTGACAGGTGACCCCCCACCTTTATTTTTTTTGCTATCAAAATCCCATTTCCATACTCTGAAGAAATTTTACATTATTATAAATAGGAATAGAAAGTCAAGAGAATGCAATAAACAGGAATAGAAAGTCAAGAAAATGCAATACTAGAAAACAGGAGACTGATCCTTGCAGACTTCATCAAGCAACATTTCCTTATAATTAATTGAGTGTGATCAGCATGATTTTTTCCACACAGATGAAATTTTGTAATTCATTCCCTGAAAGATGCTAACTTTGAATTCCACCCTTGAGGCCATTGCCACCTATATGGTTTTGCAAAAGTTACACCCAGAGACCTCTTAAAAAGCCAGTAGTTGACTTATATTGGTTTTACAAACATTCATAATTATCAAAATTCTCTTACAGCTATTGTATTACAGAGCACATTCTCTCCACATACCTATTGCTACAGATCTGCCTTTAGCCACAATACAGGAAGCTCTGCTGCAAACTCACCCAAAAGGCTCCAAGCACTGATGGGACAGCAGAACTGAAAACAGTAAGGGATTCTTAGTACAGAGTACAAGGCAATGTTGAAGGTTCTGTACAAAGCTCTGCAGTCAGTAGAGAGGAGTGCAGGTTTTTCCTGACTCAGACAGGCCATACGATACCTCTGTAAAAAGGACCAGCCAGTCCCCAGCACAAGCTGGTGACAGCCAACCAACCAGCCAACAGAATGAGCTGGACTGTGACAGTCCCAGCTCCCACTGGGATCATCCACCCCCACAGCTCCTAAGGAATACAACATGCCAAATTTGACAGCTCCCATCAGACAGAGCTCCCACAGAAGACACAGGTGATAATAACCTTTCAGACACAGTCACTGCCTTCCTACATTCCCACCACAACAGCCACAAGCTAAGGCAAGCTGGCAGCTGGAGGAATGAGTGTAGTTTGCAAGGTTCAGCCTTCATTTTCATTTGGGACTGAGGAGTGTGCAGGGCAGTCATCCCTACCAGCAGCCACAGTGTGACTGGCAGCCTAAGGCAACAGCAGCCTTGCAGAAAGGAACACAAAAGTGAACCAGCTACTCCAATGTCACCGAGACAAATCCAAAAAGGGAATCAATTTCCCAGCTTAGTTTAACCACATTTTCACAACTAAACAGCATGCCATACATTGCCAAAGTTACTTGAATATTGCAGATTACTTTAAGGGTAAAAGGTGGCTGTAGCATGTAACAATAAAATAATCAGATACAAAAGCTGAACTTTCTTTCTTTGAAACTTGGCTCATGATTTCGATAAATTACAAGAATCTGACTGGAACAACAATCCCCAGCTTACCCTGTAATTGCTGCAAAATACTAAATCAGATATGCTGAATCACAGGAGGTTACACAGAGCATTATGAAACACCACTGTGTATCATAACCATTCCAAAGTTCCTACACTCATTTCAGTCTCATGTCCACTATGCAAACCCTGAAATACTGAGTCAATGTGGTTTTGGCATCTGCTGAGCTTGGCCATGTTTTCAGCCAGTGTTTACATATGCTAGTTTACAATGCCAACATTTCACCTTGCAA